AAAGCCAGTTGGCAAGAAAAGCATTGTAGGAAAAAACGGATCCAAGGCATGGAAAGCAGGAAAGCTGAAAGATCCAAAGCTTGTTCTGGAAAGGGGCCCTGAGTGTGCCGGTAAGTTTGGGCGAGAGAGGCAGAGACAGCGGCAGACATGCGAAGAGGGATAGGTTAAGCCCCCTCCCACTCCAGCGCTCTATCCCCATCGCAGCGGGCCCCCAGTCGATGTGCACACTCTTTACATGCCCAGCAGCAGCACAGTCTGTCCTCTGCTCACCATCTCTTGCGCCACCTCCTCGGCTGCGTCTCGTCCTAGCTGGAACAGGAACTCAATGGCCTGGTTGTCCCGTGGGCGCCCCCCGCGCCGCGCGTCCTCCATGCGCAGCCAGAGCTTGAGGCCCGGCTTCTCGCCGTCGTCCTCCTCCGCCAGCTCCACGTGCACGCCGCGCTCCTCGCGGAAGAAGGCGTGGGCCAGAAGGTCCTGGATGGTGAACCTGAGGGCGGCGCAGCGGTGAGCCGAGGCCACCACTCCCGGCGCCCCGACTCCTCTCCCACTCCGCCCCTTCACGCCACCTCTCGTTCTTATCCGTGCGGATGCAGCCTTCAATGATCTCCTTCACCTCTGGCATCTTCACCTTGTAGAAGCTGTTAGGCTTTGTGCCCTGGGGGGAAGGCGTTGCATGTGGCTTCCGGTCCTCAGCGCCCCAGCTCTCGGTTTGAACCCCCTCACCTCCCACCCTACGCTCGTACTCCACCCTCCAGCCCCTCGCATGCAGTCTCCAAAACACGACTGCTACTAGAAGATTTGATTTCAGATCCAGCCCCCCACATATTGACAGCGTGACCTTGAACAAGTCCCCCGCTGGCTCTCTTACACGTAAAAAGTAGAGCAAAACATTTGCCTGCTCACATCTGGGGCAGCTGGAAGGATCAGATGGGGGGCTGGCTGCGAAATCATTAGTGAACTCTCGGGAGTACTACGCATATTATTATTCTAAATAACTTGTGTTGGGGGTGGGGGCGAGTACACATCCTTTATCTTTCGGCGGTCAGCGGGGCACCTTTGTGTCTCGCCTGTTTTCTTTAAGGGAAAGGCCATCGACTGCGCATTGGTTGGGGTAGCAAAATGAGAAAAGGACTTGGAATCGGCCCTGTCCCCCAACCCCAGCCCTCTCACCGAAGTGACCTTGCGGTAGATTTGCGCGGCATTCTGGCACTCGGAATAAGGGTACTCCGAAGTCGCCATCTCCAGCATGCACATGCCAAACGCGTAAACGTCCACGGCCTCATCGTACTTTTCCTCGTACATCTCGGGGGCCATGAATTCCGGGGTCCCTGTTGGAGCCACAGCAGAGATCAGGCTGCTGAGTTCCCCTTCTGACCCACTTCCTCCACTTGGGCTTGGCATGCCATAAGCTGGGCACCTCAAGTGGAGGAGACCCTGCCGGTTCTGGAGTGCAATTCACTGACCCTTGCCCATTGTGCTGGGGGCGGGGCATTGGTTTCCCCAACTTTCCTATGGTCTCCTAGTTCCGTGGACCTCGAAGGAGAAGAGAAATAGGGGGATCCCCAGATTCTCTCCTGACCGGGGAAAAGTAGAAATAGCAAACACTCTGCTGGAGGAACACACCGATAACGCTCTTGGCAAAGGAGGCACGTTTGAGCGTGGCAAGGCCCAGATCTCCGATTTTGACTGAGCCTGTAGGACCCGTGATAAAGACGTTGTCGCACTTGAGATCCCGGTGCAGAATGGGGGGTACCCGGGAGTGTAGAAAATGAAGCCCCCGTAGGATTTGGCGGCTCCAGCGCTGAAGGACTCGCGGCTTCATCTCGCGGAACCTCCTCAGGTACCTGGGAGAGGGCGCACAGCCAGGGTCGCGGTGGGCGTCCCCTAAGCCCAGAAGGAGGACCCCCACTGGGAAGTTGTCCTTTGCCCCACCCATGCTGCCGCCTCTGCGTCTTTTGCCAGCATTCTCTCACCTGGGTCCGCGCTGAGCCCCAGAGAGAAACTGAGTGGCGGGCGGGGGTAGATTGACATAAGGTGACAAAACAGGTCGGGCATTAAATCCGAAGATAGGGCTGCTGCCAAGGTTCCCGGAGTGCCAAAAAGGGTGACTAACTGCCCTAAGCGTGGGGGAGGGCTTCAGAGGGGAACAACTTTTGTCTTGTGTCTTGAAGGATGAGAAGGCCAAGCGTGAAAAGGAAAAGGGATGGGGCCTTTCCAGAAAGACAGGACACCGTGCTCAAATGCACAGGGTGGAAGGAGGTGCTCGAGAATAAATTTGTCTGGAACTTAGGCTGAAGATGAGGCTGGCCCTAAAGATTTTACAAGCCATTAGCCATTGCGGACTTTATCTGTGGGGAAACCCTGATGGGGAATCATGAGGTCAGATTTGCCACTGGGAGAGAGCCTCCATGCTGCAGGAAGGTAGGGTAGGTTGGAGGGCCGCAGAGTGACGGAAGAGTGTTTAGGGGGTGGCTGCAGGGCTCCATATCAATAAGGCAGGCGGCAGCAAAGTGGGGGCCAAGGTGGGGCAGGGAAAACTCAGGGAGGACCCCTTAAGAAGGGACTTGGAGACAGACTGATTGGGGTGGGGCACAGTGAAGGGAGAGGAAAGGCCTGGAGTGCTGGGTGGATATGTCTTTCACCAAGGCAGGGACATGGGTCAGGTGGGTGGGCGGGCAATGGCGAGGCAGGTTTTCCACCTGGAGTAGAATTGGGGGAGCCTGAGAAGTTCAGGAAACAGTGGGGATGCGCCCCAACCCTCCCTGTTCCCGCACCCAGGCGCAGAGCTCACGTCTTGAGCGTGCCCGAGGTCATGAGTTCGGTGACCAGCACAATGCAAACCTGGCCCCTCAGCACCGACTTCCACGAGTCGTAGAAGCGGACGATGTTAGGGTGCTGCAGCCCCTTGAGCATCTCCACCTCTTCGGAGAAGCGCTGCCGCTCCGCTCGAGACAGTTTTCGAGTCTGAGAAACGGGGGATGGGAGTGAAGTCAGACCAGGACCCCCGCAGAGAAGATGGGGGCACCTGGAGTGGAACTGGATGGAGAGTGAAGATTAGATGGGTTTGGGTTGCTGCAGACCCCGAACTCCAGGTGGATCTCCTTGGGCTGCTCCAAGGACAGGCCCATCCTGGGTCTGGGACGGCCCCCTGGACCCCCCGCTGGACACAAGCGCCTTTATGCTGCTCGGTCCGGGAACCCTGAACTCAATGGCGCCTTTGTAGCTGCCGGGCTGGCCATGCGGCGGGAGGGGGCGCCAGGGGGCTGGCAGCGGGCAGGCAGCAGGCGGGCAGCAGGCGGGCAGTGGGCAGGGAATTGGGGCCGGTAAAGGGTCGGCCTCAGAAACTGCAAACTGCTAGTTCCAGACAGGAGGGGGGAGGACTGCAGAAGGAGGTACAGAGAGAAAGAAAAGATCCAGGACCAGGTGCCAGGAGACTGCCCCCCTCTCCCATGGCTGTTCCCGCCCCGTCTCCTCCGGCTCCCCCACCCCCTCCTTGAACGTTTGGCCGCCTCTCCTTGCCTGGCCTAGAACCTGGGGTGGGGCACTGGCAGGCCTTAGGGGCCAGATTCCTGCCAAGGCTGAGGAGAGGGACCCTTCCCCCAGGCCCTGTCCCCCTAGTCTGAATCAAAAGCTTCAGCTTAGAGTTGACTGGGTTCTCCCCACCTATGTGGAGAGTGGGAGCAATGAGTGGACCGTCCTGTGGGCCAACATCCTCCTAGAGCCTACTGGCTACATGCCTTTGGGTCTGGGAAGGGAGAGGCCAGGTAGCCATGGGCTGAGCAGCAGGACTGACTCAGGCTCCCTGACTCCTCCTTTCCCTAACTTTGGAGAAGTTCGACTGCTCCAGAAAAGATGGGTGAGCCCATTCTGCCACAATGCCCTAAACCTTGTGGAGTTGGAAAGGACCCTGGCCCAGCTTCTGGCTTCCTGCATCCCAGCTGCCTAGTCTGCAGAGAGGTAGAGGGTGGGGGGGAGTGGGGCGGGGATGGGAAAGAGGACCAGTGTCGGAACTGAGGGCCTCAGGACTCAAGGAAAAGGGAGAGGCAGAGACAGCGGATGACCACAGCAGGGAAGTGGTGTGTCAGACTCCTCCACACACCCAGATCTGAACTGCCAACCCCCAGTTTCCCACCTCCCAGGATTGAGTATGGAGACTTTAAAGTGAGAACGTCAATGCCCATGGAGAAACCACCCTATACCACTTGCCTCGGTTTCTCTTTCTGTAGCCCAAAGTCACCCAGATCATCTGGGTAAGGAGAGAAGGGGTGTCTGGACATTTGACTGGAAAAAACACCTTCTTCCCTTGATGCTGTTGCCCGGATCTCCCCTATCCTAAGACCTTCAAAGGATCCCATCCCAATATGCCACCAAGGGGCACCCAGCCGCACCTGCAGCTCACACCAGGCCACCTCCACTGTGGTGTCGGTGTCTAGCCCTCGATACACCGTCTTGAAGGAGCCACGACCAATCTCGATGTCAAATTTGAGGTATCGGCCGTCAGGGGACGTAGCCACAGCCTGAGTCTCCGTGTCCTCCTTTTCTTCCTGCTCCTGCCGCCGCGCTCGCGCTGTGGCTTCTGGAACCCTTGGCGGCTCCCTGGACCTGGGGACTCCTGCAGAGTCTGTGAGCTCGGGACTTGAGGAATCTGTGGCCTTCACAGGGGCTCCCCCAGTCCACGTGCCCTCGGGGGTCTCTTCGGAGCGAAGTGGAGGGCTCTTCACCGAGCTGGGACCAGCGGAGTCCAGAGGATCAGGGGGTTCTGGAACGGGTGAGGCTGGCTGGGACCAAGAGCTCAGCAGCCCCAAGTCGACAGAGCTGCGGCGGCTGAGACGAGAAGAGCGCGGCCAGGGTTCAGCCTTCCCGGAGAAGCGTCGCACTCGGCGAGGAGGGGGCGAGAGGAGGCGGGGGCCGCAGGGCCAGATCAGCCTCTGTTTGGGACATGGGGATCGCGGCCTCCGTGGCCGGGGGTGCCAGCATGGGGAAGGGCCGGGTGCCGCAAGGCGGAAAGCCAGACGGCGGGGAGAGCAGGCGGCCTGACAAGCGGACTGGCCGGGTGCGCAGCGCTCGGGCT